AATGACTATTTGAGGGCATTTTTTCTACAATGTACATGTATATACAATGTAGTTACCTGATGGTGTAATTGGTAAGCTTACTACATGTATAATTTATGCAACTCATGTAGGTGACAACATCCAAGTTTTGTGTCCATAAGTTAATTAAGGCAGTGTTTTCCATGTCTTGCTGCAGGTTCAGCTCTCAGAGATCAGAAGATGTGTCTTACTAAGTTACAACTCAGATACAAAAACCATTGACTTCAGACATTAGTAAGTATTGATAGCCACTCTTAGTGTTTAATTTGTTTATGATTAAGTGGTAGTTTTTTTGGCTTTGTAAATTTTTTATTTTTATTGAAAAGAATACTTGTCATTACATCCATCAATAGTTAGTGATAAAGGGAAGAAGGTAACAAACAGTCTTGATTTCACGTCAATTATTTTCTCCTCTTGCAGTAATATTCAAGCTGCACCTATTGGAATAAGCCGTGGAGTGAAAAAACTGATCCAGACTAAACTTCCCAACATGTCACAATTAAGTGACATCAGTGATTATGTCTTAAGGTAACACTGTGCTGTAATTAATGTTATATGAAAAATTAATTCACTTGACATGTGCATAATTTTTTTTTGCCAAACAGCGTCTCTTAATATGTAAGCCTGTTTATGCAAAGAAGTTCAAGTAGTTGTTTTTGTTAGTTTTGAAACGTTTTTGATTTGGCTGAGTAATGGATTGAAATTAAAATGGAGAAAGGGCAAACTAGTAATTTAATATGTTACAACCACTTTGTTTGAATGACACCCTCCCAGTGTTATGGCATCATTATGTTTTGGCTTGAACTTGTCCAGTCTTTTTTATATTAAAGGGAGTTTGACTAGACTAACAGTGGTCAACTGTACAGGAAATTATTGGACAGGTGCAATACTGCAATGAATAATGTGTCTTATGTACGTCACTTACTATAAAGCTGTTATCAGTTTATTGTTTGTATTAGATTCTACTACATAGTTGTTGTGCTTCAACAGAGGTGGGTGTGGTTATGGTTCAGAGAGTGAAGGTGAAGAGCCTGCTGACTCCAGAGTCACGTTACCACAGAATGTGCCAGGAAGAGGCAATGCTAAGGCACAACAGAGTGCAATTAGACTTACAGAGGTATAATTACAAAAATACTTGCTTGCTGGGATTTCCTATCTTAGTTCTGATTTCCTTGTTTGTTTCCTCTTTCATTCATCCATCCATCTGTCCCATATTTAAGGGATGTAGCTCTGCCAAAAAGTGCCCAGCTGTGTTTTAATTTTCGAACCTATGTACTAATAAAATCTTGCATTATCTTCACACACGACCCAGAACCTATGACCCACGACCTAAACACAATTTAGCCTTACCCTGCAACATATTGTTAAAATTTTTCTTACTGTTTTCAGCTTGGGCCTCGAATGTTGCTCCAGCTTGTGAAGATTGAAGAAGGATTGTGTTCAGGAGAGGTTCTTTTTCATGAATTTGGTGAGATTGATAAATATATAAATACATATATCTCGTTTGCAGACTGTTGAAAATCAAGAAAGTGTACTTAATATTATTGTTAGTACTTTATGGCTTAACATAACATTGAGCAGTTCAGCTCTGGATGAAAAGCATGCACTAAAATAATGGAGATGAATATTCCAAGCAAATTTTTTTATAGCATAGAACTTCAGTCTAGTTAGTTGCTTTGACTATAATTGTGTTGAGTTATAGGTGACCCATTGTCAGAATTAAAGGATTTTGTCTATTTGAACATGAATTTTGTCCTTTTGTCTGTTGCTGGGTTTATGAGAGTCACACAGTCTTGAGGAGTTCTTGAGTGAAACCCAAGTTGAGCCCAATAACATGTGGTCCCTCTAACATGACTGTCACTACAATCACAACTACTCAGTTCCAGGTCAACCCTACCAATGACAACTTGTAGAAATCATGAAATGTGCGTTTTCTCTTTTGTAGATTTTTTTTATATTTGGCCTTTCTCACTATGCAAGTATATTTTGTTTTGTGACATACATGGAGATCACTTTGATATAAATTTGACTCATGAGTCCATATCATAATGGACTTCAATTCAGCTTCACTAGACTTTGTCAAGTGTTCAACAAATATTTTTAAATGGCTGACAAGTGTATGCATTGCGGACGTATCTTTTATGTTGTAGTTGCATTGCTAATTAGATATAACTTTTTATTTCCTGTATATATACATTCTATGGACTTAACATGCTAACACTTGGTGTTTTATGTTGTTGTTTTTTTTATCAAGTGAAAAAGACACCTGAGGAAATAGAAGAGATGAAGAAACGGAAAGAAGAAGCAAGGTATATGCTGAAAATCACGTGCTCAGTTTATTATCTGAGAACAGATTGTAGATAGTATGTTACACTCCTTGTTGTGTGGCCTTCATGGGTACCTTTTTTCACACTAAATGTTGATAACAAGTGTCTTACTAGCGCTTAATTATTTAATACCAGGAAGTTAAAGGAGCAGAGAAAAAAACAGCAACAAGAGAATATCAAAAGAAAGGAAAAAGAAAAAGCTCTGAACAAGTAAGTTATCATTCTGTCTGGAAAGTATTGAGTAATTTGAGAACTCATACTTTAAAATAAGTCTGTTCACTTGTTCCCGAGGGAACAAGACTCTGTTGAGTGCAGTGAGGAACATCTCCTTTAAGTAAACATTTCTGTTAGGAGTTGTGACAAAACAAAATTGCAAAACCTGGATTATTTAATAGTATCTTTAAATTACACCTGCTACTTAATTAACACCTCCACTGGCAACATTAGTTCCTGAACACCTAAGGTTACAAAGGCGTTTATGTGTTAATGTGTTATTTATCACACAGAGCTCGAAGTATTGAAGGTCAAAGGAAAAAACAGAAGGTGGAGAAAGATGCTGATGATGCAGGTTTGTAAGGAGGGAAGGCTTGATTGTGCTTTTTCTGTTGACTCTATTGTCACATTGCGCTTTTGTCTCTGTACTGTGGTCTAGTTAAAAGGACAAAAAGGGTCAACAAATTTCGGTATCTGGCTGACCCATATTTGTAGTAATCTTGGTGTTTGGTAATGTTGCAACCTTAAAGGAGCTCAGTCACGGTGTTTTGAGTTATTTTGGCCACATACAAAATTACCTTTAAATAGTAGGAAACCCGAAAATTACAAAAGACGAATTTGAAAAATTGAGGCTAAACTTTTCAAGATGCGCAAACCGTGATTGAGCTCCTTTAAAAAGTTAAACAAACAACGGTTTTCTTTAACAGATGACATAGCCATGGATACAGGTGACGTCATGGACAGTGACGATGCTGATTGGTACAGAGAGGAGGTTGGTGAGGAACCAGACCCTGGTAAGACATGGCGCCTCACATTAAAGAATAGGATGCAATTTGAAAGGATTGCATCCTTTAGGCCCCCTTTACATGGAAAGAGGATGATCCTAGCACAACCTGGATCATCTTCGTTCCATGTAAATCGGGCTTTATATAGTGTACATATCTATACTCCTTTTTGATCAACGTGGGCCAAACTACAGAAGAGCTAGCTTTGCGCAACACAGAAGGTGTTTTATTCATTTCTCTTTGTTTGTGAATTCAGTCATTGGCACAAAACCCTGTGTTGTAAAACATTTTAAGGTTTTCAATTCTAACTGCATTAGCGTTTGGTGAATGAACCTACAATTAACGGATTTTTTCCGTTCAAACTCTTGATTTAAAAGTAACTTTTTCAGTTGTTTAATTGCCTGTTTTGTTTTTGTTTTTGTTTTATTTTTACTGTAGAGCTTTTCCCAAAAGTCTGTAAAAGGAAGTCCAAGGAAGATAGGACGACGAAACTCGGAAAAAAGAGGAAGCATTCCGAAACAGTTCATGACACAAAAGCAACAAAAAAATCCACCAAAGAAACAAAACATCGAACAACCGTGCAAGAGAGAAAAATTAAGAAATCTGTGAAATTCAAACCAATCAAAAAAGGAGCTCGTGTGACGAAGGGAAAGAATCTTAAATCAAAGAGAAAGTTAAAGAAATAGTCACATGCAATTATTTTAGCTGAGTGATAACAGAATAATCCACTGTATAGGCATTGTTAATTTGTTTCGAAATGAATGATATTATTCATTAAATTCAACTTTCCACAAGTAACAGGGGCACCCAACGACCGTTTTCTCTCCAATGCTTTAAAACGCTGTTTTAGGCTATCTGGAGTACTTTTAAAGCTCTGTGGGTTAATTTTAGGTTGCGCTAAAAGAAATTTATCTGTTCGGTTATTCCAGGGGAACTTGAGTGTTCTCGAATTTATTAGGGCTTTTTAGTCCATTTCCCGAAAACCTTAGGTCTTATCGCCTTTCCGAAAATGATAACTGACCTTTTTTCGGTACCCAAAACCACATTTTTAACAATCCGAAAACAACAGACATTGAATTTCTCATATCACGAAAGTTCGAGGTGACAATTCTCTTAAGAAAATCAGAGGGGATTAAAGGCCTTCTGAACAGATAATTTAGCGAAACGATCCGTTGGGTGCCCCTGACGTAGTTTACCTGATTTATTGTCACTCTTGCGAAGGCCTAATTAGTGGCAACTTGTGTGCACTAGATTGACTTTTGGATTGACACTTTTAATAAAGGATATGTATGACTTGCGTCAAGAGAAGACGATTTGAGTCAATTTGCTCGCAAGTTGGCGGTAGTTTTTCCCCACTTGAACTCCCAAACGCAAATTGGTCGTACTCAAACTTGCATGTATATATTTTTGACCTCGCGGAATTTATTAAAGGCCGTAATCTTGAAACGGCCTTTTTTCCTCGTATAAAGTTTTCTAGTCCCTTTGGCCACCCAATGCAAGTCTGTAGACAAACTTAACTTGCGGCTTCCTTCTCCTCTGTTTAGTCAGGCCTTTATATTCATTATTGACATAAAAAAATCTTTCCGAGTGCAGTTTCGATATGTCAAGCACACAGGCTACAAGGATAAAGAAATCATCAAGTTGAAAATCATTTTGACCTAACGCCCCGTAACTGTGAAGAAATTAGAATTATATTAACCAAAAATGCATGAATTCCTTCCTCGATCCAAATTTTGCTCGTGAGAGGCTAAGAATGGTCAGTTGGACAGAATTATGGAGAAAAAGAAGTTTTGGAGAAAATTTGTGCTTTTCACTTAATTTTACTGTGAATGTGTGAGGATGAAAAAGCTAACTGATTAATGCGAACGGCAATCCTTACTCTTTATTCCTGATCTAATATTGGAGTAAATCTATTGCTGAATTGCCATGACCGTAAAATTGTTCAGATAAGAATGCAACAGTGGATATGAACGCTACCTACCCGTATAAAAACATTAACGTGCCTTGCACAGTTAGAGTTGGAGAACATTTTGCCGAGGGCGACAAACAAACCAGTTCGAAATAGCGAGGAATTTGAAATAATTGAGTTTGAAGTCACTGAAAAAAGAGCGAACTAAAATGGGTGTGAGTCGAAAATAATTGAGTTCAAATTACGGGTCCAACTGTATTTCTATACTGTGCATCATTATCGTCCACTCGCCGCGATGGGACATTCATTTTCACCCATCCCCCGGGGGGTTGGTAGCTACTTGAACACACCGCCTCTCAGGTCAAGTCCCGGACGTAAAAGCTGATTTGACTACAAGAACATGCTGTTTTGCAAGACAGAAGAATATCGAAAAATCATTTCAACTCCCCCTCCCTGGTGCATTGCGCGGGTGTGTTGAGGCCGAAAAACAACTTAACCACTTCCACCTCAGATGCCTCCGAACCCTTCCCCACATCCGCTGGTAGGACAAAGTACCCGACACGGAGGTCCTGAAGCAGGCAAACTTCCCGAGCATCATAACCATCATGCGCAAGGCCCAGCCGAGATGGGCAGACCACGTCTCTCGCATGCCAGACGATCGCATTTCAAAGTAGCTTCTCTACGGTGAACTCTGTCAGGGCAAGCGCACAATCGGAGGGCAAAGAAAACGTTTCAAGGATAGCCTGAAGAGCTCCCTGAAAGACTTCAACATCAGCACTGACTCCCACGAGTCACTCGCCCCGGACAGACCCTCCTGGCGCCATCTCATCATCAAAGGAGCCCACGCAGCAGAGGAGCGCAGGTCCCTTCAAGCTGAGCAGAAACGGGCAGCATGCAAAGCTAGAGCCATCAACAGTACAGCGCCTACCCACTTCTGCCCTACCCGTGGTAAAGGCTTCCTTGCCCGGATTGGCCTCATCTGCCACCTTCGGACACACCGTACCAGCTCAACAGCCAACTAGATCTCATGGTCACCTTCGACTACGAAGGACGAACAACAACAACAGCACACGGTACGACTTTGTCGCATGAGAAAAGCTTACGACAGGCCTACGACATCAATTGGTTCGTGTAAATGAAGCCTACAATTCGATTACGACTGTCGTATTCGTCACAAAAAATTTCGTAGGATTTTAAAACATGTTTTAAAATGCTGCGACAATCGTAGCCGAAATGAGTTCAAACTGACGTATTTTGTGACAAATTTCTTCCGAGTAGGGGAGAAAGGTGAAGTTCTCTTGGGTCAAAATGGCGGACGAACTTGTTGTTCGCAAGTCACCGTCCAGTACAAAAGCCGGCAAAAGCAAAGACATCTTTTCCTGAAGAGGAAACTGAAAAATTAATATCGCTCTAGAGTAAAGAAGTCATTTTCAAGTCAAAAATTTCATGCGCGTGTGAATGGTGCTTAGTCATTTCCCAGGCCTGTTGTAAGCTTGTCGCATGCGACGAAGTCGTACCGTGTAAATCGGCCCTTACGCTACGCGTTTTCCCACCGCTTTTTTCCAAGAGCAGGCGGTTTTGCGGGAAGTGATAGGGCGATGCTCTTCATGATTTCGGTGCTCTACAACCGAGTTCAGTTGAAGGAACACAACAAAGTTTTACAAGGGGAGGCGCCGCCTCATATATACCACTTTCGACAGAAAAGCTTGATCTTCCCGTATAGCCTATTAAAGAGTGTACATTTCACGGCATTCCATCCAGTAGCCCGAATGCTTCTAGCCTGTGTAGCAGCCGTTTCCTTTCCTTTTCCAGCGAAGATCGAGCAAGCGAGCGAGCAAGCGGGCGAGCGAAGGAGCGCGCCTGGGGTGAGAAAAAATGGGGAGAAGTGGGAAGGGGGTAACCCCCTCCCCCTGCTCCTTATTTTTTGCACTCGCTAGAAGTTTTGTTCCCTTCGTGTTCTTTTTTGGAAACGCCAGCTACGCGGCTAGAATGTTTCCAGACAAGGAGCCATATTGTTTGCCATCACAGCCTCTTATTATTTAACCCCAGGGTCTGCAATAAATTACTCTAAATACAAGTTAAATGTATTATTTTATCTCAAGACAGACGATACATTTGGGCGTTAGTAACAACTGTTTACATTTAACACCACTGCCTGCCCTATTGATAAGCCACTTCTAATATAATATAGCTAATCTTAGTGTCTCGACGCACTCCACGTTGTTTCATGGTGGATAACAGTATGCCAAAAACTCTGAAAATTTATTGCAAACTACGTTGCTGGTAATCAAGCACTATTTCCTCAGTTTTTCAGTTTAATACACAACGTAACTAAATTATTTGTAGGAATAACATGTTGGTTACTGCCCCATTAACAATCTTTTGAAGCCAAAAGACGACGCGAACACAATTACAACGATATTGTTAGTTCTGTCTTCTCGTCATAAGACTACACAATGGATCTGACCATGATGTTAGGAAAGACATCCTAAGAGCTAGACTCAGTCCAGAAGCATGATAAAAATGTATGGACAGCAGTTTGGGAGTCTAAATGCTGATATGACTCAGTTCGTTACTAGTAATATCATATCTCCATTTAGGGGTGGCAAATGGTAAATGGCAAATGGTCCTTCAAAAGCATATACATAAAATTTTCACAAATTTCACAGTTCTTGCCATCTTGATTATTTTGTTTGATGTGGCTTCAGTCTAGACTTCTCTTGAAGACTGAGAAAGTCTCAAGCTCTCAGAAAAAAAAAACACTTATTTTGCTGTCTCACAAAATCGTACCATTTGTCAGCCCTGCATTTGCAATGCAGTAGTACAAGCTTGATATAAACAATGATACTTACAATAAACAGGCGGCTAGTTATTGAGGCTTAGCTACCGTTAAACGTTTTCTTAAACTAGAAGTAAATTACAAAATTACACCTCAGCAGAGATAATGAACAAATAATTATGTGAACTCTTCTACTATGAAGCTCATTACGCCTAGTGCTTCATAAACAGTACACTACATACTAAACATATAACATTGCTCTAAAGTTAACAACAATAGCAAGCCTACTGAAATTGACTCGTTAAGTAAAAACGTCATTAATTTGAAAGATTTCATCAAATTGAACAATACATCAAGCCATCTAGACTCTGTTGCTCAGCTTCATTGCCTGGAAAACAAAAGCAAAATAATAATAATAATAATAAAGTTGCTGTTAAGAACTGTAGACATACACAGTAGATATATTTTGCATCTTATGGCCGAGTCTTGTGCCTCTGTGGAAAATACAGCTAACAGGGCAACATTATACCATCAGGGTTGTCTTCTTGTCAACAAAAAGCTATTTTCTTTATCTTGGTAACCAGTCTAGTGCGTTCCTATGGTAAAACCTGTACCTCAACTCCACAAATACTGTCCATCAAAAAAGTAATCTCTTCTAAGTTTTTTTTTTTATCGTATCAGTATATATATTTTAATTATATTCTTACCTTGCTGATATCAATGCCAGTAAGTGCCTCCACTGATTTTGGCAAATTGGCGACAATCTCCAGGATTTCACCAGTGATTTTACTAGCTCCAAGGTCACACTTGCCATTTGATACCATCACAATCTTCTTACACTGAGAAAGTGGTGCTGCAACTTCAGCTGCAATCTAACAATGCAAAATCATGAGCGTGATTTGTGTGCCACATATAATAAAGACCTCCAGCCTTCATAAGTAAACTAATCAATTCCTTACTTTTCTTAACCTTCTCTCTGAAGATTCAAAATAATAAACAGACCATACCTTGGGAAAAGTATTGAGGGGGAGACTTGACTACAAGCAACACAGTGGGAAAAGGGAATTGTTCAACTTCATAAATTCATTCCAGTGAGATAAACCCAAATTAAATTTCCACAAAAAAAAAACCCAAAGGGGATTTGCAAAGATGCCAAAAAAAAAATTGACCCAGACTCCCAAAGATTTTCAAAAAAGATCACTTGATAATAGTAATCATCTTTATATTGTCCTTTATGTTATAAACAACTTGAATGATTAATTTTTGGTAACTTCTTAAACTTATGGATGAAGTAAGCTTTTCTCTGGGTACTAAAATGTTGGATAAATTAACCAATGTCTCAGCATTACTGCCATCTTCAGGGTGCAAAAAACTTGCCAGAGATTACCTAACAATAAATAACAGGCCAACTACCACTATGAAAAACTGTATCTAGAGCATCCATAGGATAAATTTTGACGTTTAGTATGTAGAAGTTACCTTTGGCATGGTAGCTAAGACCATGTCAACAACAGCGGCCTCTCTGTATTCTTTCCATGCATCTGCTTTCTTGGCCATCTGCTCTGCCTCAGCTGTGGCTTTAGCTTCAATGGCAAAAGCTTCAGCTTCACCCTTCACCTGTTAACAGTCAAGTGAATATATCAATATGAGAGATCAGCAGCTATAAACCATCTAGCAGACAAGTGATAAGAATGAACAACGATGAAAAAAATTGTTGGACGAGTCCAACTTGTACAAAAAGCTGACACTGAAAAATGGAAGACAAGCAACAAGGCAGGGTTAGAAAGTAAGGTGGATTCTTCAAACCTTAATGGCCTCTGAATTGGCTTCAGCTTCCAGTACCACACGATTTCTGACCACAAAATAAATATCATTAGAAAACATCCCATAAGAGAGTGCAAGTTCAAAGCTGTGTGTCTTGAACTCAGTAGAAACTCAGAACTAGCACTGCAAGCTGTTCATGTAATAATGATTGCATATTAAGCAAATATAATTCACACTTTGATCATGGAAATACATGAATGACTTTCCTTTTTTTTCTTGCAATGTTCTCCAAAACAAAATTGGAAACATTTTCTCCATGTTTCTATCTAGTTACAGAAACACTTAAGAAATTTTAAGAGAACTTAAACAACATTTCTTGTTTTCCCAAACTTTTTCACTGGTGTCTCTACAAGTGGATAGCAAAAGAAAAAAACGTTTTCTTCATTTTTTAATAAAGTTCATTCACCGTAGCAGTCACAAATTTGTGCAAAACCTTCTAATGCATTACACTACGTGTAGCAACAGTCACAAACAAGTTAATTTAACTGACACCTATACCATAATACATCTTTTCAGGTCGTGTTAAAAATCACTAAGTTGTTATGAAATAATTTTTTTCAATTAGTACTTATTGCTTTACCTATTGGCCTCAGCAAGTTTTTCCATCCTATACTTGTCAGCTTCAGCAGGCCGTTTAATGGTAGCCTCAAGCTCACGGTCTTTACGGGAAATTTCCTGTGAAAGAGACCAAACAAAGACAGGTTAAGTGATAAGCATAATTATACAAGCAATTAAACAATTAAGTAAGATCACTTCTTACTTAAACTAGACTTATTTTGAATTTAAAAAGGATATAGATTGTCTCTTACCAAATGATCATGAACAGAACGATTGTGAGGGCTGGAGCATTCAGTTGTGATGCTAACACCCAGAGGGCACAACTGAGCTCACCACTGACTACCTTGCTATTTCAGAATCATTTTAGTCAGCACGCAAAGAAAGTCATGTCCAATAGCCCAGGGCTGGGAGTTTATCCTTTGCTAGCTCAATGGGCAAGATAAGTTTTATGAGGACATTTTTGGTGAGAGAGATGGAATTATTAGTTGAATTTTGAATTATTTTGTTAATCACGCTTAGTGTAGCAACAATTTTTTTTTTGNGGGGGGGGGGGGGGGGGTGGGGGGAGGGGGACTAGTTACACCTTTTGAAAATCTGGTATGCTTTGCACCCTGTTAATCACTTATTACATGTACCTGTTCCTGAACATTAATTTGCTGTGCTCTCTCCACAACCCTGATCTGCATTTCTTCTTCTTTGATTTTCTGTTTTGTTATGGAAGCCTGAAGTTGATAGGCCAATTCAGACTGAGCTTTCTGCATTGATCAAAATATGAACTTTGTCACCATCACCATCATTTAATTGCCAGTAGTATAATGTCAAATAAGTAAATGACTGTACTCTTTACACTTCTATTCCTTGAAAAATTATGAAGTACTACTCCTAAACAAAACAAAAAGCCAACACACATTAATAAGTATTGTTTTCCAAAGCAAGAATTTCATATAATAGTCAATGAGTAGATTTCATCATTGCATCGTTGCAGTTTAAGGACTGCCATTTATAGGGAGGCAAGAGAGAGCTGCTGTACTGATCAAAGCAAATCCAAGAGCAGACTTAACGTAGCTTTTTTATGCTTCTCAAAGGCATAAAGCAGAATTCAATGAATGTTCATTTAAAAGCACTGACCAACTAAATCACAGCCACCTAACATCAACAACTAGTCTACAGTATGAGCTTTACATACTTTAGTTTGAACTTCAATGTCATAGGCTGCCTTCTTTAACTCATAATCTCTCTTGGCTTTAGCAATTTCAGTGTCATTCTCAAATTTGGCCCTCTGGCGAGCTTCTTCAGCTAGTGCTTCCTACAATGAATTCAAATGACTTGTTAGTCTGTAAGTGCAATGGCTGCATTACTCAGATATGAAGATTAAACTTGCAATATTAATGCACCTGAGAGACATTCCAAGACTATCACTGTTTTACCGTTTTAACAATTTTCCATGCTCAAAACATAAACCATGCAAATCTGAAACCTAAGTTCAAAGTAACCTGTCTTACTGTACATTTGGCCCAAAGTGAGCAATAATAATGCACAATGTGTTGTGCTGTAATTAATAAGACTATCGGTAGTGGATATTTGTCAAAATTTTTGTTAAAGGCTTACAAAGAAAAACTAAAATTACTAATATATACCAAAGTCAAAAAATACTTTGAATGAAATTTTATTGTTAGTACAAATCCTACCTTAATTCCAGAATCCCTCTTTGCTTCTGCCTCACCAATTCTGGCATCTCTCTTGACCTGTGCAGTCCTGGCCATTCCAAGAGCATGCAGATATCCCTGTAACAAATATACAGTGTACGCTTACTATATTGATATTGATTTATCTTCTTGTCTAACTCACAAAACAGTCTATGTGAAAGTATAGTCAATACTGTCAGACATGACTGCTGGTGTAAAGATTGGATAACATTGTCCACTGGATAATCTATATATCAAGTGGTGCCAATAAGGATAATTATAACATAGCCTTAGTGAAGGACACGTTCTGATGGGCTAATGCGCTCGCTCCATTTGCCCGCAGGTTGCACGCTCACATCAGTTTGTTCATTTGTACTTTTTCTTGGCAATTGTTTGTAAAACATAATTCCTATTTTGCTTCTCCTAAAATATGGAAAAATCTAATAATTCTTCCAGAGATGAGGAATATTATTCCTGTGAGCTACCAAATTTTGAGCTTACTTTTTTTGCAGGGCCTCCACCTAAGAGATTTGTGAATTTAAGCGAGCAGGAGTTGATTCAGCTGGTTGAACAAAGGCACTCAGCACTCGGAGACAGACCAAAAAACAACAAACTGGTCTGTATCAACCTTTCAAGGTTAGTAATGCATTGCGGGAATTCTAGAGAGAATTTTCTAGTGATTTGATGACAATAAAATTCATCACAAGCTTTCTTTGTAAAACTTTTCTGGCATCGAAAGCCATTTACATGCTTTCGGTGAACAAAACTTGAACACGAGAGCTTTAACAAATCTCTGTTTGTGAAGTCTTACATTAGAAATCCTTCTGTTCCAAAAACGTTACACTTCTTTCGTGCTTAGCAACCTCCCCTGTGCATCCATAACTCGATACTTGCATGCTGCATGCTTACCATTTCTTAAATAAAACATTAACTACTCTATCTACTAGCATTATTCATCCTTCAGAACACTGATTGCAGATGCCATTCTTTCTCTGAGGTGATAATCAAATTGGGTCAGATTTCTTTATTGTTCCTGTAAGTTACTAATATTAATTTTGTACAATGTATCACATACCTCTTCATCACGTATGTCCTTTATTGTGTAACTTACAACACTGATTCCCATGTTTACCAAATCAGATGATGCTACCTAAACAGAAAATAAAACATTCAAGTTCTTAGTAAAAAATGCTTCAAAGACAGCACTCCTATATTTTGCACTCAGAGAGGAAAAAAATTGCACTTGCTGTTGCAAGAAATTAGACACCCAAACCAAAAGAATGCCCTTGCTTCTGAAGAGTCTCTTTTGTCTTTTCAGGGAAGGAATGGCAACCTGGATGGAAACAGCATCTTCTCATGCTATAAACCAAGCTAATAAGGCAGCACTAACTGATATACATGTATCTCACCTGTACTACCATCTTCTTGTCCCAAACAAAACCTCAAAAAGTCACTTACTGTAAGTTAAATAATTTAGATCACCGACAATTCACATCAACTGGGCAACTCATTAAATGCCAAATTTCAAAGGGCCTACAGTGTATGTTACAGCTGAATTACTGGCTGCTATTAGCCATGAAATGTACACAGCAGTTTAATGAATAATGTTTTGTTTGATTGCCAGTACATTTTTCAGCAACTTTCTAACATTCTCTAGCAATAAAAATAGAACAAACCAGTTTTTAATCAGTACCTCAAACACACTCTTAGAGAACTTCTTTCGATCTTTGTAGATTTCCTATTTTAAAACAAACATCAAGGTAAGCTAAAGTTCTGCAATTTTATATGAAGCTTTTAAACAATGCCATGAATTTAATCATGGTTTACACATACATTTATGCAATTTAGAGCAACTATGATCACGAATATAATATTTCTGAAGTGTTAGAAAGGTAATGTCCTCAGTACAACATACAGCACAAAAATAAAGTAAATTTGATTGTTTTTACCTCCACAGTCATTGTACCCATGATAGCTCTTTGATGGCCTTCCTACAAAAATGATGTTCACAACAATGATATTACTGACAATAATGATGATGTTAACAATGATGTTACGGCATCATCGGGATGATGCCGTGGATCGGCGAAAGCTTGGATTTTTAAATGATATCAATTTTACAGTAGTGTAAGGCCTCAATAGAACTTTTGCCAGTTTCATTAAAATGCTACTGAAGGACAACATCCAACAATTATTAACAATGATGTTAACTCCAGGTCCACGGTCAACCACACAGGTGATTAGTAAATAATATAATATAGGTTATGCGTGTGGCACATTTGATGTACATGTACATGATCTTATAAAGAAAAAGTATGATATCGAATTTGTTTTTTGCTACAAACATAATGTGACTGCTAATGGATTGTCAGTCTATGGAAATCTTACCAGTGTTTCCAAGGCAACAGAACGGACTTCCTCTTGGCTTTTCCCCAAAAACTGCTGACAAGCTGCATATAACATTTCCTGATTCTGGCCTTGAATCTTCACCTGCAAATGGAATTATTTTTCATATAACAACATGACCGCATACAATGCAATTTGATTGACCCAGTATTGTGTGAGACACTCATTGTGCAACCTGGAGAGGATCAATTGCAAAGGGAACAGTCCACAGTCCACAGGACAGTGAATAATAACAGTTCAACTGCAGCTGCTTACATGTCATTTCAGTTGGCCTGCCCTCACTGACAAATCCAGAGACTTCTTGGCTCAAATCAGATTTTTTTAATCATCTCAAAACCCACCTCTAGCAAAGACAGTCATCTTCTTAACAGAAAGATGAACATGACTAAAAGTTAAGCTTCTTGCAATGCTTGCTCACTGGATACTTTGACCACTTGAGACAAACTGCAATTCCACATGAAATAAGGCTAAATATCTTTTCGTGAATTTTTCTTCCTTTTTCCAATATTTAATCATTTAACTTTGTAAATAACTTGTTAACCATTTGCTGACATCTTTATTTTCTGGTGGTTTCAGTTAAAGAGCCACTTTTTGTGGAAACTCTCAATAAACAAAACCACTATCACTGGACATCTAAATGGGACCCTCTTGTCTCTCCTCAAGTAAAACTACTAAATAAATTATTTGAACAACTTTTGAAAGTAAGAGTTGAAAATAAGAGCCTAACTTAAAATCTATTAGTTTGCCATCTACACATTGGTTGTCTTACTTGAGCTATTCCAGTCACCGAGATTGGCACTCCATGCCGAGTGTAGACACGTGGGGATTCAACATTCAAGGTCATTGTGTTAAGAGAGATCCTAAAGGCAAACCATATGGATATTAATTAATTTCATGATTTTAGAGTAAAGGGAATGATACTTAACAAAATCCAAAGTTATTTTCAAACAAACTCTTAGAATACTTGTGACTTGTGCTCACAGTACATTTGCCTTATGCAAAGAACCAATCACAAGGCACAAACCTTATTGACACTATAAAATAGCCGAGACTCGTGTAGTTAAATTTCTCATAGAAAAAGCTCATCTTTATCTTAGTGTAAAGTGTAAATATGATGTAGTGGTAAGCAGCACGCATTCAATTTTTTCTTTCTTTTTTTGCACACTGTTTTATGTTTTTGTAACCTTGCATCCTTACGTTTTTATCCCATAGCCATTTCATACATAGAAGAACATCTCCATTTTGATATCTTACATCACACGCTCTTTCAATGTTACGTGCATAAGCGACATCTTTTGAGCATCTTTCGACATGCTATGTAACCTGGACTACATAAAAAAAGTAAGCACAACAGACTTCTTTACGGTCGAACTCAACTTTTAGTCATGCAAGATGGATTTATTTGACATCAGAGTAAGGCTAGGAGTATCAAGAAAACATTCTGTGAGAGAAAAATCTACTGTTTCGGTTCTAATGTCTACATCTTTCAAAATTCAACTGAGCAGTAGCGGCCCAATTCTACCGGAGGTCACAATTGCAAGGCAATCGACTACATTCAAATAGTCTGATTTATCCGTAAATCGGGAAACATGCAAAGTCCACATTCTTCTTAAGCAATTTAAATTTGAGGTTAGTAATTATTATTTATTTGTCCTTTCCTCTGCTAATAATCGGAAATGTTGCAAGTTTCACAGTTAAATGGTCTTTCAGCCATTTGCACAGCACGTTAAAAGACGGCATGTTGAAAGGTGGTCAAAAGAGTTGCGTAGTATGCACATAACACTGAAAGCAGGTGTTAATACTGGTACTCTAACAAAGATCTGCTCCCCAAATCAGGTTCCACCATGGCAATGATTGCCGTCAGAGCATATATAGAGGCTGAGGGTTTATTCCTTGATGTACATTGTAGATTTATTTTGGGGAAACTTGTCATCTGGGCCTGGTTGTTCAAAGCCCAATTAAGCTAACGCAGGATTAGCAAGAACTTTGATTTCAGTTTGTAACTTTTTGGTTAAGTTTTCTGTTTATAATGTTTGTCCTTCAGTTTTGAGCCTGACTATGCTCAAACTACACAAAACGTAAGCAGTAAAAAGCATTTTTATGCAAGAAAAATTAACACTTCGGTTAACTTTTAATCCGTGTTTCGAACAACCCGGCCCTGCTCTTTATAAAAAGCAGTATCGCTTGACTAATTGTTTCTTGAAAATTGACTTTAAATGAATGATCCCCGTGGTTGCAGAGCAATAAAAGATCGACCGCCTGTATAACGTGACCATCACTCTTCCACTAATAAAGTCTTTGACCTGACTAAAGTCAGCGACATGTCGACGTAAACAAACATAACAGATAACTGTGTATGTTCGCACACAATCAATAATTTCGTACAGTGAAACATAAACTTCACCATTTCCAACAGATGCAGGTCATGAAAATCAATTTTTTTTTAACTTTCTGAAAGGCGTAATCGAAGATACCTTTCTGCTTCATGCATTTACTAGCGATGACAAGAATGCTGACATTACAATAGCATGCGTACAATATTGTTCACGGAATCACAAATTTCCTTACTTCTGCAACTTTTGAATCAAGGGCCACACAAATATACGGCCACCGGCAACTAATGCTGGTTTGCTATGGCAGACGCCTGCAAAAGAAACGGAGAAATAACCGCTCGACATCATGCATTGTGTGATTCACTTTCAATGCAATCTAGCTTTACGCACAAAACACCTGCAAAATATTCGATTTAATTCCACGCTTTTGACTCTATGAATTTTACCATAAAAGCACAAATGTTAAAATATAAAGTGTTACGAAAATACCTGATACAACCATGGCTTCATTCGGTCCACAAGTTTCGAAGAACACCATTTTGAAACTTCAACAAATTTGACCCCTCAGAAGTTCCTTGTGCGAGCCTTGAGCAACAATATGGCGACAAAATCACGTGACATACAGTGGCGACGCCTCCTTACCGTAGTCGATAATAAATCGATCCAATCAATAATTTATCGCTTTCAGCCCTTCCATACCATCGATCTTCGGGTCCACCCCGGCGTTTTAACAACACGTGCCATCCCTGCAGTGTTCCTTTCTGTTCGTTTATCGAAGGTAAGATGGCGGCCATTTTTTGCAGTATTTCATTTTTATGTCATAGTGCTATTCGTTTGAACTTTTCCGTCACAGTTTGATGTATATAGTGTCAGGGTATATTTTCAATTCTGTTGGAATCCTTAATAGCTTGAAAAAATGTTGAATGTAACTTAAATGAGAGATCATTGAATATATTCTCTCCTTGTGTGATCTAGACAACGTAACGTTAGTGAGTTATAAATCTTATTTTGGCACAAAATCGTTCAGTCCTAAAGTAAACCTGTTTTAGAGTCATATTTTTAAATCCTACCTTAAGAGTACTAAACACCTACCTGACCATGGTGCAGAAATGACTGTGGAAAACATAGAACTTAAAAGTCTTGAGATGCAACATAAGATTGCAATTAATTTTTGGGCTCTGCCTAGTGGATATTTTGGTCAGGTGTCTTAAAGCTATCGTGGTTTTATTCACTATACCAAGACAGTACATGCCACAGGTGCTTTACATAGTACCAAATAGAACATTTTCGTATTCTCGTTATCGGACTGGGACTAGCTTGTAATGAAGCTCATGTGGGGGAATATCATTAAAAAGAGAAAAATGTCATTTACATTTTAAAGGACTCCTCACATTAGTCTCAGCTGCAAGCTAGTTCCAGTCCAATACCGAGAATACGAAAACCGTCTATCGTTTGTATAGTGTGTTTGTCCAGGTGAGGGTAGTTCTGAAGAGGACTGTTTTTGGTGACTGACGTTTCGACAATCTGGGCAGAAGTCATTTTCAGAGTCAAGTGAATAGTGTTTGTTAGTCAATGATGTTATAAGTCTGGTCCTTTGAACGTGATTGGTCAGTTTAGCCATGATGGTATTGGCTATAAGACTCTTGTAAAGTTTGCCGACAGTGATTGGTCGGCCATTATAGTAAATTTTAATTTGTTTATTGTTAGTCAAATAAAGTCAGTCTGTTTGAGATGTGTCTGTCAGTTGTATGCCGTGAGGCCTTTGCTCTAAGTTAGTGTACCACCTTGCAATATTTCAGCTGAAATGTTACTTTGGACGATATCTAACAATGGTTAGCACCCATTTCATCCATAGATGGTTGCAATTAAAATGGTTTTTCCCTTTATGACACATTCTTAAGAAGATCTACAGATATACGAAGGCAGCGTGGTCGAGAGGTTAGGGCACTGGACTTGAAATCCAGAGGTCATGGGTTCAAGTCCTGCTCTGACAACTATGCTGGAGTTGTTCCTTGGTAGACCCTAGTTCAACTCCTCGGCCCATTTGTAAATATATAGCCAGCTGGTCTGCCTCTTGCCAGTTGGGATTTTTAACCATGTTATGTCATTTGTATTATTTGTTTCATCATTTGTTTCCATTGGCCCTGAAAAGCCCCATTGGGGGGAGTGGTCAATTGAGATATTTCTTATTTGTTTATCTTTACAATGTTTGTTAGTGTCATCATGTCTGATGAATGGGGAGTTGATGAGTCACCTGTAGTAGTTGCACCTGAAGTTCAAGATATTAAACTGTTTGGAAAATGGAGCACAGATGATGTGCAAGTCAGTGACATCAGCTTAACTGTAAGTGTTACATTCTTAACTAGACGCTCTAAGAGCATTTACTCAGGCTTCGTATCGCAAGTAAGCATACCAAACACAATAAAAACTTTACATTGTGTCTAGATACCCAGCAGCCGGGAAGTGTTTTTAGAAAACTAGACACCTGGCAGTCTGAAATCATTATAGAATTTCCACGAAATAACTCATTACTTAGAATAGAGGATCTTTGTCTAGAAATGTCAAGCAATTTCAGGTATTACTTTTGAGCTTGGACGAACTATAAAATCTCGATTTTCGACATTTTGTCCACAATGAAAATAATATTTTTTCAGAAATGCCAAGCAACTCTAAATAATGTTTTGGTTTTGAAGTGGACGAATTCTCCCAGCCATACTACAAATATCTTGACTCATGGGCAAGGTTGTTCAAAATACTAGCTACATGTACCCGGCTGTCAAAAATTCATAGATAATCAATTTCCACAAAGGTTATCGTTATTATTTGAAACCTTCCAAGAGTATTTGGGTATTTTGATCTTTGGTCATAAACACCATGCGATCGTGTTTTTCAATGATTCAAGTTTGCAAGTTGTCCGATGAACTTTGTGTGACTCACAGGCACAGTTTTTCAAAAAAACTATATATACCTGGCAGTCAAAGTCTTTCCGTTTTTCCACCAAAATGTCCATTTGAATCTGCTGAGAATGCTCGATCTCTGCATAGAAATACCAATGGATTTCCGAACTGCAATTGACCACATGACAAAAGTCCGCTACAGGTTGCGTGACATCAGTCTGACCTACTGAGTCACGGCAGATCTACTATTCTACTGTATTCTAAGAATTAAATGAATTATTCCATGGAAATTCTATAATAATTTCGGACTGCCAGGTCTCTAGCTTTTTGAAAACACTTCCCGACTGCCAGGTAAAAACAAATAAAAGAATCAGGATACTTTTTAACACAAAGAAGTTACGCTTAGATGTTTACTGTTCAAGTTGCTCTGTTGAGTATCCTCTTTATCCAGTTGCATGTTGTTTGCCTCATCTTCCAAGTTCTGCTTACGACGATTCTTTGATTTTTCAATGTCCAAGTTGTTCGTCTCTGCATCATAATTTGGTTTTTGTCTGTGTTTTCATAGTTTGAACTCGTAAATGGCTCCTTTGTTATCTCATGAGAATGAGCATGAACTTTGCTTATCCAGCAGGCTGTCAAGCAATATAATTCATGGGCCAACCCGTTCCGAAAGTGATCGACATCTTTGAGTCTTTCCCAAACACTCTTCACAAATCTCAGCATTCTCACGAAGAGCGAGAGCTGTGGCATTCTCATCCCCAGTTTCCTTGCACTACGCTAGGAACGCCTGGGACCATGACCCCCTAATTGGCGACCAAATACGATAACCACAACAACGAACGGCTTGCATTTTTAAACTCAGTCTTTCCTACGGAAGCCTGAGTAATTATTACATTTAGAACTTCATCCTCAAGTTAACACAATGCTATTTTCACCCATGTGTCATTTCAGATGACTTGAATTTGTTTTTGTTTGTTTTTTTATCATATCTGTTTTACAGGACTACATTGCAGTCAAAGAGAAGTATGCCACTTATCTTCCCCACACTGCTGGACGTTATGCCTCCAAAAGGTTTAGGAAAGCACAGGTAAGGGCAGCAAATCATTGGATATAACATACCATCAAGTTCAGTGCAAGTCCACTGAAATATGGAGTTTCTGGTTAGTTACTGCTTGGGACTGGCTATTTTTGTTGTATATGTTTTATATTTAAAATTTCAAACTGCTTGATTTTATTATTATTATTATTATTATTGTTATCATTATCATTATCATTATCATCATCATCATCATCATCATCCAACTACAGCAAATACTGTCCAAATAACAGTACAAATATACAGCGATATTGTACAGTAGAAAACCTGTTTGCCGTACAGGTCAGCACGCGCATGTAAAATTGTCACACTCTCCCTCTTTCATTGATAAATTTATTGACTACAGCTGTTGGATAATAAATCTCTTATTAGATGTTTTGGTGTGTAGTATCGCTGTATATTTTTACTTGTTGTTTGTATAAATATGGCACAACTCGTAAGAATATGCAGTGATACTACACACCAAAACATCTAATAAGATATATTTATTATTATTGTTATTATTGTTGTTGTTGTTGTTGTTGTTATTCTCTTATTCTGTATCATCTACAAAAAAAAAATTAGATTCCAGTAAATTTTAAAAGATAATGTCAAACCAACTGGTCATTTTCCTTGCCAGCTGATTAGACTCTATGTTGAATATTAAAGTTGAAACTCTCTACAATGACTAATGTGGATCAGAATAATTATCAGTGGTTGTTGTAGAGAAGTGGACATTTTAAGGATTCTTCAATGGAAGTAAAGTGTATGGATTGTTGCGCACTTGATCATGGCCATTGCGGATAGGTGGGCACTTTAATGACCACTTTAAGAGGCTGCCATTGAAGATTTGACTCACGCACTTTGTTTTGTCCAATAAACCGTGATCTTCTAACCAGACATGTTACTCTTTTTAGTGTCCCATTGTGGAGCGACTGGCAAACTCCATGATGATGCACGGCCGTAACAATGGCAAGAAACTGATGACTGTCAGAATCGTCAAGCATGCATTTGAGATCATTCATCTGCTGACAGGAGAAGTAAGGAAACCTGTATCTAGTTTATTTTGCATGTGTTGGGGCAGTGAATTAAATGGACATAGAAAATATATATGATATACTGTTATTTACCCTTGGCAGTGTTCATGGCACAAAGGCTAGTGGGGCCAAGCAAATAACTGAAACAAATAACTGAAATGGAACATACAGCTGCTGCTGGACCAGCTGTATGTCATTATTTCTTGCACTCAAATTGCTTACAAAAGTTGTTTGTCTCTTCATTAGAAAGACTAAAAACCACAGGTTTGACAGGCTGCTGTTGCATAAGATGAACATCATAGCTCAGTGCTGCCAGGAACATGGTTACACTAAACTAGTTTCCCCAAGTATAACGTACCCTTATGAAGCGTAAATTGGTGTCCTTTTTTCCAGAATCCTCTTCAGGTGCTAGTAAATGCTATAATCAATAGTGGCCCACGTGAGGACTCTACTCGTATTGGGCGTGCAGGCACTGTGCGACGTCAAGCTGTGGATGTGTCACCCCTGAGACGCGTCAATCAGGCCATGTGGCTGTTGTGCACTGGAGCTCGTGAGTCAGCCTTCAGAAACATCAAGTCTATTGCTGAGTGCCTTGCTGATGAGCTGATCAATGCTGCTAAGGTTTGTATTGCATCAATTTAAATTTGTGCTTCTAGTTGGCCAAAAACTCAAAACATTTCCGTAAACATGTGCTGATGCAAAATTAAGTTGAATTATTTGGGAGCTGGAAGGTCTGTGTTATTGAATATCATTGCATTTATTGGAGTTTATGCCATAGCTGATAACTGACAGCCTCTATCAGTACAAAACTCAAATAACTAAGTCCCCTCAGTGGAAGCTGACAACTCCCTTAAATGGCAGTTGTTCAAAACTTCCTATTTTTTTTCTCTTTTTGCTTATTATTGTTTTTATATTTCAGGGTTCATCAAACTCCTATGCTATCAAGAAGAAAGATGAGTTGGAGCGTGTTGCCAAATCCAACCGTTAAATTATCAACATGACGAAACTACTCAATAAAATTTGTTTCTGAATGATACATGTCTTGTGTTCATTAGTGGCTCATTCAGCATAGTATGAAGTGAAGAGTCAAGACTATTGTGAAAGAACTTTTTCTTATTAAGTTTTGCTAAGCTCAGACCTGTCTTTCCTCAGGCATTACACAAGATTCTACTGTTACTTACTTACTATCACAGGACACTACTTTAGGATGGAGGGAAAATTTCTTGTGTAAATTATGTACCGAAACAATAGTAGAGCCTGCACACAGACAGACATTCCTATTTTCTCTTTCTTAAGTCAGAGAACAGAGAGACATCTGTCTACAGGCTATGCAATCCATTAACTTATTGTCTAAATTAATCTCAGATTTGTATGTAGCACTTTCCCAAAGTGAGCCATAGGGGGTACTTCCCATATGAAAAGGTCAGGGATGTTAATTCAAATCTTCCAACGAGCATCCAGGACCTTTCCATAAGGGACTTCCCCCCTTCCCCCTACCTGGGGTTTCCTGTTGCATAATAGAGGATAACAGACATTGATGTTCCTCACATTATTTTATTTTCCCTGTTTGAGCCTGGAGGGTTAAATTGGTGAGCCAAAAATTCACCTTGGTATTGGTAAATAATGCAAGAATTTTACCACAGAGGAATAGACAACCATTTTCCACCACTGGTATTTTGAAAGTCAAGAATTACCTTTATTCCATTAAAACTGAAACTGTTTTTAGCACAGTTGTATTTTGACAACTTTATGAGGTGTTTGTTTAAATTACAATTCTGCTACAATTCACATCAATTTCATTTTGCCTGTTATCCTAAAATCCATCAAAAGAGCATTCTCACATTCAAACTTGATCCAAAATGTTACTGATTGATGTCTCTTTTCCTCACAAAGAACTTCACTCTGGGAGAATGCTTTTCACTACATCACCAGCTCCAGTAATGTAAGCTGTCTTAGAAAAGAGTCACTGGATTTTTTTTGCTTGATGCAGCACCAACCTTGCACATGTGTACAGTATAGTAAACAATGAGGATAGGGAGCTAGAGTGGGTTTTGTTAGTGTTGTGTGAATTTCCAAATTTTAATCGTGCCATCATCAGAGCATGAAGCTAGGAGGCCTGGTTCCTTAGGGTGCCATTTAACACCGTTGACATCTTGGCCATGTGCCTGTCAAAACAATAAACAGTAAGCCCATGTCTTGTTGGGGTAGATGTACTTACAGACAAAAGCGGAGGTCCAAATGACCCACAGCAAACTTGTAATCAGTAGTGTCTGGTGTACAGGATTTGAGTTTACAATTATTTGAGATTTCAAGTTTGCTCCACATTCATTTGATTGAGTGGATCATAGTTTAGCCCAGCTTTCACAAACAGAAAAGATGCACATGCACTTGATTTTAGATTTTTCCCTGAGTAACCTCACTAAGGACTGCAAGAGAACTGGAAATACAGATTGTATGCACCATACAATACTGGAAATATGTAACTAAGAGCCTGGATTCATTGCTTTGACTCTTATTTTTCAGATTGTATGCACAATACAATATATACTACAGATGCAAGAATTTCTGATCAATATGACCAAAATCAGAAATAACATAAAAAGGAGAGCTGTTTCAGGAAAGGTCCTACAAAGTGTATGTGGCAATGCCGTAAGGTACTACTGTATGGTGGTGGTTTTACGTCTGTTTGATCAAAGTTTATGGTGTATCGTTAGGATAGAACGAAAGGTCATGAATATGTGCATTTTAAAATGTCTCCTTCCTTTGCTCTGAAAAATCGTGAAAAATCACGAACACCTTTCAGTACTGTATGCATAATCATCTCACTTTTGCAGGACAACCTCTCTCCAAACAGCTGTATAATACAAACCTTTGTTTGAATGGCCACTTGGTGGAATGTTGGTTGATTTTTGTCACCGACAGAGACATCCTGGAAAAGAAAAATTGTATATCAGTTAAGTTATTGGTGAAAGACTGCATTAAACAATGCATCAATTTTTTTTCCTGCTTGCCCTTTTGGCTAATTATTACATGACCAGGGAAATATGTAAGACCAACTAGTAATCAGTGATAATTTATATTACACACACAGTTGATTACCTGTTCAAATATTCGTATACAGTCATCTCCAGCAGCTGTTGCTATGGCATCAGTGACAGGTGACCTGATCAAAGAAAAAAAACTTATAAATGTAGATTGCAAAACTGATCAGTTTCTAATGATTCAGTGCTGTACGGCATGTGAACAATTCCTTAACTCTCAATGTGTGAGTTACTTACCAGTGAACATCGTAAATGGTTCGGTTGTGATAACCTGTCAACACACAAACAGTCTTCCACTTTGGGTCACTTCCATTGGTGGTCACACCTACAGCACATGACAAAACGTTATAGCACAGTTTTCTAAATTACTGAAAAAAAAAAACAAAGGCTTTTTGGCTACATGACTACTAAAAACAGGGCAGGAGAAAGAACTCCCAAGAAACACCATTTGACTAAGCAATAAAAGTTACTGTATTGCATTGTGTTGCTTTTGAGAAAATTTCTTAATCTAAACACAGTAATAGCACTGGTAACATTTCCATTCACTTTTTGTTGTCATTCCCACTTGAAAACACATCCACCAACAATTTAACATCTTGTATTAACAGATATCTAGGCAACGCTAAACTGGGTTGCAAAAAAGATATACATGTAAGATCAGTGAAAAAAGAGATCAAAATAAGGACATAACATCGAAATTGGAATCTGCAATAGAAGAACAGAAATCTGATATACTACATCAGATTTGGCACAAAACAGATCAACACCATAAGGTTATGGTTCAGATCACAAGAAGAGTGTTCATGTGTGCTTGCAAGAAGTCCTCAATGTTAGCTTCCTGGAGTTACTCTTCAACCCAGATCTCCCATGGCCAAGCTCAAACAGAGTGAGATCTGGGTATGAGATTATCCTGGAGTAGCAATTAGAGTAGCAACAGATTGATGATAAACAATTCACAGCATACCTTCTTGGTTGCCAGGTTCATAACACTGCCATATTCTTAATGTTTTATCGTCGCTACATGAGACTAAAAAAATACATTAATCAACACAATTTAGTTGATTTAGACTGTGTTTAAAACAATATTAGTAGTTTACTATTAAACAAATTACAGAACATTGCTGTACAAGTTACTAACTCAGCCTGTCTCCAGTTTTATCAAAACTAAGTGCCCAAACTGTGGCCTCATGACCTTCTAAAGTATCAAAACAAGACCTGAAAAGAAAATATGAAAAATTCTTAGCATGCATCACATTGGAAAATATTTATTGATAATAAATAATTATTTGAGATTAAGTCACTTAATATTATTTGAGATTATAAGTACATGTATAGTTCAATACATGTACTGATACAGGTACCCCGGGAGCAGAGTCAAGACTCCTATTGACAGATAATAAAATTCATAAAGTGCAGTAGTTTAGCACAGAGACTATACATGAATGTAGCACCAAATCAAAATATTTATCAAAATAATTACTAAAATATATGGCTTTCTATTTTGCTTACCAGGTCGTTTACAAGAATTCATCCTTTCTCTGTCTAAAAGCCTCTTTTGAGCTCAATAGCTGTTATTACAGTTATCAGTGCTCTGACGTACAAACAAGGCAAAAGGGTCAACATTCTGCTTTGTTAATTGTATTGACCCTTTCACCTCATTTGTGTGCCTTTTTACATAGACGAATATTAATATTTTGACTGCAGACTCAACTGTAACAACAGCTATGACAGTACACAGAGTGTAGTTTGCGGCAACTTACCAATCATCATCATCTTCTTTGTACAGTTTAATTGTATCATCATAGCTACAGGATGCTAATATCTGACAAAAACATCAGTCAAAATTATTAGTCCATGGAGAATGTGCAGAAAATAGTGAAATGCCTAAAGCAGCAGTTTTGATCTGCACTGACCTCCTTGTGTGGATGCCATGTAACTCTTTTGACATCCTGTGAATGACTGTGAAGAACACTGGCACATTCATATTCATCATCCTCTTGAACTAAAAAACATTATTTTATGACTAGCTTAATTTTTGATCAACAACGATTTCTTAAAACATAAGCAGGCAAATACATGTATTAACATTGAAAGCCGATGTTTCAGCGTCATCGCAACACCATTCTCAAGTCAAAGTGAATAAAAAAATGTGAAGATTTGATTTATATACAGTCTCTACAAACTAGCATAATAACAAAGGATCACAAGTTCTTCAAGTGAATACCTTTGCGCAAATCAACAATTTCATGTGCTCACTAAATGTTCTAACAAATTTGATTGCCTAATTAAGGAGATGCTTTTTAGAAGAAAACTGAAACCATCCCTAAACATGCAAACGGACTCAATTGGGCAAAGGTATTCACTTGAAGAACTTGTGATCCTTTGTTATTATGCTAATTCGTAGAGACTGTATATAAATCAAATCTTCGCATTATTTATTCACTTTGCCTTCAAGTTGAAAATGGTGTCACGATGATGCCGAAACGTCAGCTTTAACGTTAATATTTGCCAGCTTATTTTTTGTTCCACTATTTGTTTGTTTTAACAAAAAATTTTCATCAAGCTTTCCTACATGTACCTGAAACAGTACACTGTAAACATCAATATCAGAATACAAATATGTACACAGTCTAGTCTATATTTTTTTTTCTGTAAATAAGTTCCATTCTACTTTTTAGGGCCACAGGGTGGAAACAAGCGTTCTCTTATCTTGGGAAATTCCCCTGTAAGCAAAACAATGAGTAATTTTCCACTAACAGGCCTTATCATGTGCATCAGATGCTCAAAATTCATCCCCACTAGCCTTGTCTACATTAAATCTTTCCCACTCCTTTCACCTTCTTGTACTTTTGACATGGCATTCTTTACTTTCCTCTAACACCTTTGCTGCTTTGAGAATTTGTTCGTGACAAAATTTACAAGTTTTTTTTATTTATTTATCCATTATTTGGTATCATGATTTCTTTTTTCTTACTTTCTTAGCCTAGAATAGTGTCCCCAATGGCCAATTCCCTCTATGAGATGTACCTGCAGGGAATCATGATGGATGTATAAATTTTCATGAAAAGAAATATCCAGTCCAAGATGATGAATACAACTACAGTCGAACCCCTATTAAACAGCCAGCCCTATTAGGCAGCCAGTAATCAAAGTCCCGATGAGAGCTTTTTTATTGTGTTTACCTATGTGAAGTGGCCAGCCCCTTTTAAGTGGCCTGACTATTCATTTCCCCGAGGGCAGCCGTTGAATAGAGGGGTTGGACTGTACCATGATTTCCTGCAGGCACACCTTACAGAGGGAATTGGCCATACAGTAAGTTTGTTTTATTCTGTAAAGCTAAATACATTAGATCCACTGAAATAAATTCTATTCAAGAAAAAGAATACTCCACTTGTCTGAAGAAAATACCACTTTGCAAACTGAAAGTGACTTAATTAAAATTATTAAGACAAGCTCCAACTGATGTGAAGTTTATATGAAATAATTCATATATGAACTGCGGTTGTAGATGAAAGTGAAGAATGATCATCGCAGTTAATTTTCCAATTTAAGCAATT